TTGCCAAACCTGTCTGTTTGGTTTATGGAGTCGTAAACAGGCTGAAGCCTGAAGTTCATTACTACTTACCAGTCTTTAGATGTCCGCATTAGTTTTCATATTTTAGGCTAAGAACATTTTCAGCAAGTGCAGGAAACATGTATTGATCTTGCCAGAAATGTAGTGTCCTTGTGGTGTCCTTTGCATTGAACTAAAAGCACAAAAAATGTTATCTCTCTGCTGTAAGCTGCTAATCTCCCTATGCTCCATGTCATGGAGCCAAATGGAGAGAGACAAACTTTTACTCCAATTCGGGACAGCAGCATAGCAACAATTGTGGCTCCTTCTATAGATACAGCAGAGAAATAAATGTAGTCACTTTTGCACAATAAGCGTGTTATTCCAGGTATAAAATAAACAATAAAAAGGCTGGAAACAATGAATGAATGAATGAAGCCAGCATATCTATTGACTGCTAAGCTACAATATATTACATATTTGTTTTTGGTTTTAGATACAGAATGCTTAAAAGGTGTCAACAAGCAAAGGGTTAACAAAACATTTTGCATGGGAAAGCACATCCACCAACATTCATGTTAAGGGAACCACCTTTTAAAAGTTGTCTATGGGTCAAATCAATGAAATTCAGCTCTTCGAGAGATACCAAGAGACCAAGCAGAGATAGACAGGGACAAAGGGAACAATTCAAACCTAGACATTTTGTTTTCAACATTATTTTCTGAACAGAGCATAATAGTCTTTTTGCTGCTAAGAAATGCTGCTTTTTTTTTCTTGCAAGCTCAGTTTTTAAAAGACAAAAGCTAAAAGCATCCGGAGTCACCAGTAACGTTATTCATACACTTTCCTGTGATTTTGAACTAACGACTGCAGAAGCCTCAGTGGACCTCTGCTGGGGGAGAGCTCTTGGCAGGAAGGCTTCATCTAATGAACTGTTGTTTCCCCACACCATGGCAGAGATAAGAGGGGCATCAATGATCACAGTGATTCCCACAAGCGAGGATTTGAGAAAAGGCTGCACACACTCTAGCTTCACCTGGCAAGGCTTCTGTAAGCTGGCATGCTGATCCTTACTTCATTTATCTTATCACATCTCACTCCAATGTACTGGGGATGCAGAGACTAGCAGGAACACCTAACAGTATAATAAAGGAAATGTATAATCTTTTCAGTTTCTATTTTAAGTTATGCCTGAGAGATCAGCAAGGTGTAAATAATCTTTTCTATGTCTGTTGGGGTTTTAAAAACCTTGTTTATATGTGTTTTGGGGATCGAGGGAAATCAGGCATCAGAAATAGTCTTGTATAAACAAAAGTCTGTTTAATTTTGTCAGCAAATCTAAAAAAGGAATTTCTCTAGCACAGTAACTTACAAAACAAACATGTGCCCCTCAGTGCAAAACAATTTTTTTTTTACCGTACAAGGCTCACCAGCCTGAAGAGAGTCTAGGATATGCAATTTTTTCAGGCACCTCATCAGGGGTGGACTGACCATTTGGAAACTCGGGCACTGCCCGAGGTCCCGGGGTCAGTAGGGGGCCCCATGAGATGCCTCTGGTACCTTTTTCATAAGTTTTTTGAGTTTGGGCAAGGACACAGGGGCCCCATGATCCCCTATTGCTCGGGGGGCCCCATGAGTTGTCAGTCCGCCCCTGCACCTCAGTATAATGGTGCATATTTCTGCCCACGCTTCTGTTCATAGAGTAATTGCCAAACATTCATGTGCGAGTAGGCATGCGCAAAAATTGTCATGCACACTTGGCACTGGTATTGGTGCCCAGCAGCAAATATAAACTGGAGCACTGCAGAAAAAAGTTGCCGAATTGTCTTCAGCTTGTTCCTGAATACCTGCAACCTGACCTACTGATTCCGCTTCTCAGTATGTGACCCAGCTTACCTCCAGATCTGCATCTGGACTTTGGCCTCTTTTTTGTGACCTCAGCCTTCCTTTTGGACTCTGCTTACTGCCTTCTCCCTTTGTTTTCCTGACTTACTATGGCTTGTGTCCTGGAGTCTGTCTTTGTTTATCTATCCTTATCTGCTGTTTCTGAGTTTGGTTTGCACCCCAGCTTTGCTGCTGTCTTCTGATCTAAAATCCACTGCCTTTGTTTGTCTGCAGTGGGGCTCTCAACTTAGTTCCCGTCACCAACTCCGGTACCTTGAAGTTCATGCACTTGGTTCCTGTTTTGTGATTCTCAGTCCTCTGCTCCACGAATCTGGCACAACACACATCCGGTACTGCCTGCAATGCTGGCCACTCTCATGACACTCTCTCTGTCAACACCTTCAGGAGTTTCAGGCAGAAGGCACAAAAGGAGCCCTCTCATCTACTCAATCTCTACCAGGTACATTGTACCTCCTCTTAACCCTGCACTAGACTCACTCACTACAGTATACATTGTAATTAAACATGTTCAATTTGCTTATGGCGTACACAGATTCTTGTTTTTTGCTTTTGTTCACAATTCAAATCTATGAGTTGTCTAACTCATTGATAACAACTATTAAATGGAATTTACGAAGACAGATAAATGGCAGCCAACCAGCTTCTGTCTTTCTTTTTCAAAGTTTAATTGGGGAAAGCTAGAAGCTGATTGATTACTATACCTAGCTGATCCAATTTTAGCAAATTTCCCTCCAATACATTGTGGCTGATATTGCATCTGAACAATCAATAAAGAAAGCATTCACTTGGAGAAAATGTTGGCTGACACTGCTGCTCTCTTTCTTAAATCAGTGGCTTCACACAAATGACACAAAGGAAAGTCAAGACTCAAGACTCTTAGGCTAGTCTAGTGAAGCAGGTAGATCAGCACAATAGCCAGGAAACTACTGTTTTTAGAAAGATAGGGTAGCATTGGCAGTCAGTATTTCTTCAGTACAGGTTTCCTGTAAGGGTGGAAGAGGGAGTACAGCCATCAACGTGCCTACCTAGAATCCTGTCTTTAGCAAACTAGGATTTTGTGCCATTCAACAAAAACATAAACATACAAACACCAGCGATATAATGTGCAATCTTAACCACTTGGGGACCGGCTACCCACAATGTACTGTGGACGGGAGTCCTGTTCAAAAAGGTGGGTGATTGTACACAGCGAGAGCCTGTCAGCAACTCCTGGACAATAGTTCACAGCTGGGACCTGCTGACCGGCTGTGTACAGTCACAACCCAATCATCACAGAGTTCTGTACAGAGGGAACAATCTCTATATTTCTCATCTCTGCAAAGCAGGGATGATAAACTAGGAGATCATTAGTAAAAAACAGCACACTTTACACATAGTAAACATTGTCAGGCACACATTGTATTAATGTCACTGGTAATTTCATTGGCAATTAATCATTTCCCCCCAGCATCAGTTAATGTCAGATTGCCCTCTGCACGAATCCTGCCCTTAGTAGTAGGAAAAAAATTCCAGTAGATATACCATAGTTTGTAGGTGATATAACTTTCACACAATACATTTTGGCCACAAATTATGAAGAAATTTGATTTAAAAAAAAAAATTTATTGGATATGTTTTGTAGCAGAAAGTAAAAAATATTGATTTTTTAAAATAAATTAGGGTCTTTTTTTCATTCATGCGGAAAATCCAAACGCACACATTCCTGCATTAAAAGCTGTGTGTATAAGTAGGTGCCACAGCGACTGTCTCTGGAACCGAACAGAATCAGCAAGGGAGAATGTCATCAGCACACTGAGGATCACCAATATGGGTCCAAAGGTTTTAATTGACGATCACATAGTTAGAGCAAAGCAACGTTTTGAGTCTCGCAGGACCCCTTAATTAACACCCTACAGCCTCCCCACCTCCCTGGTTTCAGCTGTCCTTATCTCCATGGGTGATGAACTATCAGAATGCACACAGCCAGTGCAGCTTCAAGGATGGATCAGAATGATGATCTGTATTGGCTCTGACCAATCAGAATCATTCTGATCCATACCCCATGCCCTGCAAAAAAAAAACAGGGAGAGAAAAGCAGGGATTTCAGATCCCCAAGCTGATGCACTGGTTGCTTGGGCCCTGACGCTCATCACTCACAGAGGTACTGTATGTACAGCAGAGACCAGGGGGGTTTGGAAGCTGTAGAGGGTTAGTTCACCTTTTAATTTTTTTTCTGAAAAGGTGAAGCTACACTTTAGATTTTCAAATTAAATTCTCATTTGTTGGATGACTTGTTGATTGTCATTCGAAAATACATTAAAATTTTACTTGCATCTAACATTCCATTTTGGAATGAACATAATTCAACTATGGTCAAAAGTGGACATCGATTCAACCTCACCTATGCTTAGAAAATTGAACAAATGAAAAAAAAAAAATCGAATGAAGTTGTACCAGCGTATGGCCAGCTTTGAGCTGTATTCATGTGTTGTTTGTAAATTTGCTCCCTTTTTGTTTATAAATAGCTTGACAGGTAATAATAAATCAGTCATAAATTTGTTTCAAACTTTCACTTAAAATTCTTTTTTGAAATAACAGAGAAAAACATTGATTTGGTCAGATTTGTTGGAACTGTTATTTACTTTTCAATGAAGACAATTGATGGAATTATCCATTTTGTACTTTTGTGCTTTTGGGATTTTCTAAGAAATAATTCCTTTCTCAAAATTGTCAATATATAGAATGATAATATTGTTACATGTGTAGCAAGCATCTCACTGTCCTGGATAAATGCTGAGCAGCTGTAAGTCAAAGTAACACTATTTCATGGAATCTGAACGAATGATTAAGATAGAGCAAAGGAGTTCACATCAAGCGGTTAATTCATTTTATCACTGCTTCAAGATCCTCCACACACACTTCAAAATGATTTTTTTTTTGCCTTGATGAAGTGAGTCCTTGAATGATATCTGGAGGCACTAGTAATTTAAAGCAGTATAACTCATATGAGATAGGATATAAAAGAAAGCCGACGCAGCCCTGCTGGGCTCTTGTAAAAAAAAACAATCCACAAACAGCCCCTGGCAACATAACAAGAGCACAGAGTACATAAGAGTTACCATATTTCTTAAATGGTTTCACTCCTTTAACTGTAAACTCTGCATTTACATGGTTAAGGAAAAAAACATGTCTTGAGTTGAGAAACCCATACGCAGACAAATAAACTGCTAGCTTTACTCAAATCGATTACAAAAAGATTTTTGTACATATAGGTATATTTTTAACATTTATAATTTATGTTTTAAATGATACAAGTAAAAAATTTAACTCCAGACAATGATAAACTCATCATACCCTATACAATCTGATTGTACAATCTTTATTACATCTAACTAAATTATTTAACAGAAAGACAATCCTAAATAATCCATTGAATTAAAGGGGACTGTGTTTGCATCTGAGCATGGCAAATAAATGGGCACTCCGCTACAGGTGCAGTATGCAGTGTATATTGAGCTTTATGGTGCAGTGTGTCAGGTGTGGGCTGCCATGATGTAACATTGATGTGATGTAGCATTAATAGTTTACCAAAATAACAAGTGCACCAGGATAGTAAAAGGGGTGCCCCTTTTTTCATTCATGCACCATCCCTTGAAGAGCTCTATGAGAGGAAAGTATTCTTTTCATGCTACCTGAAGATTTAGTGTTAAGTAGTGAAGGCTCAAGAGCTATCATCCTGTTCCTGGCTTAAGTACCTAGAGAGTCAAGTATATGTAACCCAGTTTATATTGTCTCTTTTATGCTTTTTTCCTTCATTGCATCTGACAGATGGACAGGAATGGCTGCAGATAAAGAGGAAAAAACACTGTCACTGCTGGTCTGTGAGCTGCCCCACCCACCACCCAGGGGGCACAGAGGAAAAGTATATGAATTGCTGTACCTCCTGGGAATTTATTTATTTCAGGTACTTATATAGCGCGTCCATTTATGCAACGCTTTACACATATATATTGTACATTCACATCAGTCCCTAACCCTCAAGGGATGTACAATCTAAGGTCCCTAACTCATATTCACATACATACACATACTAGGGCCAATTTAGGCAGGAGCCAATTAACCTACCAGCATGTCTTTGGAGTGTGGGAGGAAACCGGAGTGGCCGGAGGAAACCCACGCAGGCACAGGGAGAACATTCAAATTCCAGGAAGGTGGTGCCATGGCTGAGATTCGAACCAACAACCCTAGTACTGCCAGGCGTAAGTGCTAACCATTTAGCCACTGTGCTGCCCATGACAAAAGCTTGCTTGGAGGAACTGGGGTTGATGGGAGATGTAGTCTCCACACTGTGACAATGGAATGAAGCAGCATGGGAGTAGAAAACTTAATTTCCCAGGGTGCCAAAAGTGAGTGGGCAGATCAAAAACAGTTAGGGTTCAGGAATCTGGTGAAGGGGTCCTGCTAGAATTAAGCTATCCACCTTACAATATTTCAAAGACTCAAAGATCAGGGAGGTATGGCCATACCTCATACTCAAACCTACTTTTATTCTGCTCAACTTCAACATCTATTGGGCTGGGCTTTACCCAATTACACAGAACCCCTCCCAAAACATGCTGATGGGCTCAGATATGGCCTGCTCAGCTCTTTCACATCTAGAAATAGGTTTACCTGCTGTTCCATCCCATTGTCTGATGGTGACACTGCTTATAAATGGGGAGTTGTCAAACATCAATTGGGATTTGCCAGTTTTCTCCAATGCACTCCTACTTGGGGTAATAGACTATATGCTGAACTATATAAGTTAAAGGACACACAACACTGAGCAGTGTCTGGCATTAAATATCGTTCTTAACTGTGCGTGGGTACTGTTCTGAAATCCTTTGAGCAACTGAGAGCGGAGTTTCCTATCCCTCGCCACTCTTTTTACCAATATCTACAACTGCGCCATGCGCTACAAATACAGGGTGGGCATTCTGCATGACTGGCCGAATCACACTTCTTGGATTCTATTTTCTCAGAGATTAATAAGAAGGGAGCCATCTTTAGAATTTACCTGCATCTACTGAATTTGGCTTAATTGCCATTTAGGAAGAGGTGGGAGGCAGACATAGGCCTTATAGATGGAGAACGTTGGGAGGCGGCGTTGGCTGCTGTAGTATTGGTGTCAGTGTCTGATGCACAGAAATTATCCCAGCTATTCATTCTTCACCGCATCTACCGTACACTGGCACAACTGTTTGCTTGGGGTAGAAGAGACTCTCCCATTTGCCCTAAATGTAATGCTCATACCGGGGATTTTATTCACATGATTTTGAAATCCCCCAAGCTTGTCCGGTATTGGGGAGAGATCATAAATTAAATTAAATTAATCAAACTTATGACATACAACTCCCTGTGGATCCATTGGTTTGCCTATTGGGAGCATTAGATGTTGAACAATATACCCCAGCTACTTACATAGCCCTTACCCATCTCTTATACCTAGCAAGGAAACTTCTTGCATGATTCTGGCTTTCCTCTTCCACCCCTAGCAGTAAACACTGGATTAAACAGGTAGAATCATCATAGAAATTCCACCAAGAAATTTATAGCCATATGGTAATGCTGGCTTCATACCTCCAGTCTAGTCCCTCCACAGCTCACCTTGCATAGGCTATTGCAAATATAGGAGCAGATATTTTGAGATTCTATATAGCTGCTTGCAATTATTATACTAGAACCATCTTGTGTTTGTATATTTAAGTCTAATAATAATTGATGTATGCCAAAGGAATACTCTTATCTACTTACCTGATGATATTTTTAGTATTATAGATCTGTGCTTATGTCAAGCCAGCAAAATGTTATCTTTCAGTATGTCTATTGTGTCTCCATGTTTCTTCATATTTGTGTACTTTGAAATGGAGGTTTCTGACTATATTGAACAATACCCATTGTTTGATGCTCTGATACGCTTGAATAACACTTGTAACCCTCTGTATTTTCAATAAACTTGTTTCTTTATACTGTTACTTGAGAAAAAGGTCTCTGAATACAGGCATAGAGCTCCAGGCTGCACATCTGTCTGTGTGGACTGAGCTGATACAAGAGAGAGGGAACATAGAGAGTAATTTGATCTGAGTTGGCCCTTTCTGCTGTGTGCTACCTGGTTAAAGGACTGAGGAGCTGGCAAAAAAGGAACAGAAAAAGATTGGGATTTTCACGGTGCTGACACCTTCTCTCAGAACAAAGATAACAACTAAGTAAAATCATCAGCTTTTTTTGAAAAATTATCTAAAGTTGAATCGGGTAAAACATTCCCATAAAAATAGTAAGACCAAGAAGCACTGAAGAATCGAACCCTCATATTTGTCACTAGCACCACAGCCCCCAAGAATGCACTACCCTTCTTAATTTAACTCATTATATAATGAAGTAGTAAATACAGTAAATCACATGGTATATCAATCTGTAGAAGGGGGGTACCAAGTATCTACGTGTTTCGCACTGTGGCTTCTTCTGGGGTTCAAGGGGTACAGTTGTAAGTAGCTGCTAAAGACAAAGAAAAATTCCATATAGAATAATAAGCAACCTCATACATTTGCAGATATAGCAAACATAATAATGCATAAATATTAATACACTCACAGATTCAAATAGAGGAAATAGAGATTAAGTTCAATGGTACACTCTCACAAACATGTCAGTAGGTGCAAAGGCCAGGAGAGGATACCCCAATGAATAGGATGTTCGGGAACGAGCCTGTATCTCCAAAGGCCACACAAAGAAAGGGAAAGGGGAAACAGTGCTCCCTAATAGTTAGAAAAAGTCTGTATCTGCCTGAAAAAAAGATATCAAGACACCATCAAACCACTATTGGGCACTGCATATGCATAGCTTAACATATACCACAGTCATCATGCTCATATAAATACCTGTAGTGCTGTGGGGAGGTCTAGAAACCTAAGATTGCATGTACCTTACTGTATTTATTGCAGTATATTTCCATTTCATATGTAGTGCATTTTTTTATAATAATGAAAAATGTTAATGCAAAATAATAATGAAATGAATGTAAAAGAACAAATGGAACAAAATTAATTTTGGATTCATTTGTTATGTTATGATTCAGAGATTCTGATGGATTCACCTCCATCCAACCCAAACGCAATAAGCAGGAGTCATCTTATTTCACTTTTTTACCTTACTGAATTCATTACAATGTGTTTCCTTTTTATATGTAGTGTGTTTTTTTTTAAATATTGAAAAATGTTAATGCAAAATAAAAAAAAATGGATCCTAATCAATTTGGATAAATTCGTTATGTTGTTACATTATTTTGAAAGCTTCAAACATTAACAAAAGGCCCAGAATATTGCATCATTTCATCTGAATGAAACAAATGAATATGAATTTGTTGTTTTGGTATAATTTATTTTGGATTCATTGAAATGTGTTACTATCTCCAAAAACTAAAGCTTTTGTCTGAATTTTGATTCATAACGAAACAAATGGCACATGTCTATCAGAAACTGTGGTGGTTCTTTCTAGAGCCATGGATATTGGAAACAGGGACCAGAGAAAGCAGCAGCTCCTTCTGGGTTGACCGTTACACATAGCGGCTGACGGCTGAAAAGTACGGGTTCCTATCACAAATACAGTCAGGTCCATAAATATTGGGACATGGACACAATTCTAACATTTTTGGCTCTATACACCACCACAATGGATTTGAAATGAAACAAACAAGATGTGTTTTAACTGCAGACTGTCAGCTTTAATTTACAACAGTTTGCATATGTGCCTCCCACTTGTTAAGGGACCAAAAGTAATTGGACAATTGGCTTCTCAGCTGTTCCATGGCCAAGTGTGTGTTTTTTTTTTTTTTTTTTTTTTTTTAATATTTATTAATTTTTCACATTATTACAAAATTTCCATAAGAAGAGACACAATACATATAAATATCAATACATTTCTACTCTGTCCCTTCTATTTACCTCTTTTATTTCCCTTCCCTCCCAACCCACCATTTCCCTCCTTCCCCCCCTCCCTCCCCTCTGCAAGATCTCCAGTCTCTCTAGGCCCAATAACTTCGAATAACTTCCTAGTTTAGAGTTTTCTATATTTCTCTTTCAATCCCGATTTTTCCCATTTTTCCCATCGTGAATAGTATATTTTCATCCTGTCTTCCTGCATAT